TTTATTGAAATAGTACCCATGAAATTTAAATTTTGCATTATTGAATAGTGTGGCTAATATTTCGTAGAGTCCTTTTAAAATAAAATTAAGACATTGGACCTGTTTGCTCCATGACCGTTCCATGGAGCAAACGCCTATGGTTTAGTTAGAAGGACCAGGTGACAAATTATTGAAAAACAGCACAAAAAACACATTTCTGCTATGATGAATTAGCTGGCAGTTTTACTGAACATAGTCAGATAGTTGTTTGTTTGATATATGTTATTGGTTGTGATATAATTGGTTTGGTTTTCACAATATAATTGCTGAAACTCAAATTGGGCCTTTGTGTTCAGCCCAAACCTATAAGTCCAGAGTATTGATGTACGATTTCCAATTCATATTTATATTCATATTTATAAAAGATATTAAGTAAGTTTTTTAATTGTATAAAATGATATATTAATTATAATTTTGATACAAGCCTAGACAAAGAGGTGTAAAATACTGAATTTTGGCAGAATGTTATTCAATTTTTTTTTAAAAAAAAGTGTTTAATGTGTATGCTAGAATCTGTTTGCAAAACTTTGATAAAGATAAAAATATTATTTTTTTTGTTTTAATGTACATAGCAAACCATACACACAGTATATTCAGCTACTTTACAGGTATAAAGGATATTAATTAACAAAATTATACATATTAGAACAAGTGGGACAAATGAAATTTTAATATTATAAAACTCATTAGTACACTATTTTTTGAGAGCTTACATGGTTTAAGGAGCCAAATTACTCACTAGATATTTCTATTCAAAGTTTTAAAAAAATTACTGTAAAATATGTTTGCTGGAACTTGTTTGCAAAATTTCGGTCCCTAATTTTGATATGGGTAAAGCACTGGGTTCTGCAAAAATAGTTGAAGCTGATAAAGATATTAATTAATAAAATTAATCATGGTACAACAAGTGGGAAAATAAAATTTTAATGTTATCAATCTTATTAATACACTATTTTTTGAGAGCTTACATGGGTAAAACAGCCAAATTACTTTCTGCATATCTCTTGAAGCGATTAGTTCTTTCTAGAAGTCTATTAGTTCTTTTAGATGAGTATAAAACTATTCATATATTGAGCGTGTGTAAAAAATGTGAAATTAAATTTTTGGGATTAATATATACCGTATATTCATCAGATGCATTATCGAGGCCGAATATCAGTGTCGATATATCCGAATACCTGTCCAACCCTATTAATATATACACGGTGTCGTCTCCGTAAAGTTAAAGTTAAGAGAGCCTATAGTATAGAGACATTTAATACCCGTCTCGGTATTAATGTTGAATTTATTACTCTCGCGACTTTGCCAACAGGAAAAGCTTCTGTTTATTAACATTCTTACGTAGTTAAATATCGACATGTATATCTTTCAGCAAGGACGTAAATTTGCGAGAATGCTCGTATCGTTTTATCTATCTAAAACATTATGTCCCAGCTGCCGTCATGCTGTCTTCGGATGCAATAAATATGACGGCAATTAAAATATCTGTTAACGACAAATACTAAACACTAAATTAACTATTAATTAGAGAGTTAATTGCTACTAGAAACGAAGGTTACATGCGATTAAGTGTTCGATGACCAGAGAAATTGCCAGCGGTAATGAAATTTTAAAATCATATGTAAAATGTTTGTTCTAGTTAGTCTCTAAAATATCAAAAACTTAGTATAAAGATCCGCTTATTATAATCTAATACCCTATCAATAATGTTATTATATATATATATATATATATATATATATATATATTATTTATAGACGCTATATTTTGTTCATGCCATACTACGAACTTTTTTTTTAATTTTTTCTTTTTTAATTTTTTATTTTTTATTGGCCTCGCTTACATGGAGCATTTAGCCACCTACAACATTTCTGTATTTATTCAACATTATTTTTAATTCTATTTCTTACTTCTAATTCTAATCAATTTTAATTCAACATTTCAAATTCTAACTCAAGACATTATTTTACTTCAAATACTTCTTCTAATAATTCGTTTTTTACTCATTCTTCTTTCTTCTAAATCCATCTTCATTTTTCTACTAATGCTATTGCGTCATCTTCTAATTTTTAGCTTGATACTATTTTTTTAGTTATACATACTAACTTATTCAATTACAATTCTATATTACCATATACAAATTCGTTATTACAATTCATTATTTTTATTATGAAGTGCCTGGAATCGATCCAACGATCTCTGGCATGTGAGTCGGACATGCTAACCATCAGCTATGTCCGCCACACTACGAATTTTTGTCTCCTGCCTTTCATCTATAATTATTCTATTTTTTACTATATACAGATAAACAGTATTAGCTTTTTTTTTACATAATTAATATATTTCAATATATAATATCTGAGAAACATATCTATTATTTATATTTAGATTCCTCTAATAATAAATAATGTCTTTTTTTAACTTCCCGTAGGGTAAGTTATAGTAATCGTCCAAAAATCGAAATCAAAAATTTTTACATTTCTCGACGTTTTGAAGGTTTTTGAACATTTTGGCATACTTTAGAAAAAATGGATGGTGTGTGTGTGTGTGTGTGTGTGTTTTGTATGTCCGCTTTTTTTCGTCCACGTTTTCGGGCGCACGGATCAACCGATTTGAATGGTTTAAAAAACATTCGATTCCTATTGATAGGGAGATGTGCTGATTAGTTTTTGGCAAAGGCAGGTCCAGCCGTTACGGAGATATGGAGCAAAGAGTGCAAAAAATTGAAAGCGAGTTTTTGAGAGAACGGAACAACCGATTTGAATGGTTTAAAAACATTCGATTCCTATTAATAGGGAGATGTGCTGATTAGTTTTTGGCAAAGGTAGGCCCAGAGGTTTCGGAGATACAGAGCTAAATTTAAAAAAATGGCAGTTTTTGAGAGAACTAAGCGTCCGATTAAAATGATTCAAACAACTTTCTGCTTGTTTCAACAAAATAATTGATTTTGGAAAAAAAAAATTTTTGTTTTAATTTTATTTTCAAAAATTTTTTTTTGTAATTTTGGACTAAAAATTCAAAAAATCACCCAGGCTAAGCACAGTCTAAGCGCCACTCTGGTACAAATGCTTACGCAAGTGCGTTTAGACTGTTTGTGTACTGGAGCACTTTTCCAATTTTGTGAAAATTATTGAAAAATGTGAAAATGCCGCCAATCTGAGCACAGTATAAGTGAAAATGTCGCACAGAATTATTTGCAAATGCGTTTAGACTGTGACTATGCGGGAGCACTTTTTCAATTTTGTGTAAATTTGGCAACTTTTTTTTTTTTTGAATTTGATTCGAAATGAAATGACGATTGTTAATGTTCTGGAGATGATAAATTGATTTATTTATAATTAACTTTCCATAGGGTAAGTAATCGCAAAAAAATCGAAAATGAAAATTTTTATATATCTTCACGTTTCAGAGGTTTCTGAATATGTTGGCATACCTTGGAGAAAATTGATGTATGTGTGTGTGTGTGTGTGCGTGCATGTGTGTGTGTTCGGATACAAATTTTCGTCGACGATTTCGGGAACACGGATGAAGCAATTTGAATAATTCAAAAAACATTCGATTCGTATTGATAAGGAGACGTGCTGATTAGTTTTTGTCAAAGGCAGGTCTAGCCGTTCCGAAGATATGGGCAAAAAGGGCCAAAAACGGTAACTCAGTTTTTAAGAGAACGGAGCGTCCGATTTGTATAGTTCAAAAAACATTTACTTGTATTAACAAGATGAAGATTTGATCAAATTTTCATGAAGATAGGTCTAGCGGTTTCGGAGATCTAGTAAAAAAACTAAAAAAAAAAATAACATATGGCGGTCAACAATAATCATTAGACATTAGACATATGCATATCAAATTATCAGATATTTTATTGAGATTTTAACAATAAGTATAAGTTTTTGTTTACATTCCTATGGGTTCCGTACTAATGTTTTTCCGTTAGACAGCGACGCGGCGCTTACGCGCTTTATTTTTTGTCTCTATGCAGTTAAAGAAGTACGATTGCTTTGAAAAAAAGTTCAGATCTTCCAAAATATCAAATGAAGATAACATTTTTTCCAGAAAAAAAATTTTATAAAAAAAATTGTTTAAACATTTTTTTTAAAAAAAATTTTTTTTTCAAAAAAAGTAATTTTTCGTCCAATTTAAAATTTCCAAAAATCTTATTTTTTCGAAGTAAAATTTTTTCAAAAATGTTAATCGTTTTTAAAAAAATATAATTTTTGGCACGGGAAGTTCCAGCAATTTGCCTTAAGGCACGATGCCTTAATTGCCTTAAGACAGAATTTCACTTACAGCTAGTTTTAAAATCATTTTGCATTTTTTTGTCCATTCAGTTCTGAATTTTTTGAGAAGTGTAAATTTAGTGGTTTTATAGTATTAAGATAAAATCTGATAATGCAAATAATATATTGAAAGTTACAAATATTGACAACTTTAGTTTTGTACAGTTTTTTGTGTATGTGTTCTTGTAGATTTACCTCGATATAAGAAGTTCACAAAATTCTACAAGAATAAAGATAAAATGGAAAATATCCAAATGCTTACCTCCTCAAAATAATAAACATAGTATTCTCTAAAAAGTTTGCCATTTGCGTTCTCAGTTAATCGAATATTTCAATCTGAAAAAAAATATTTTACAATTCTTTCCTTTTATCAAATAATATCTAGGACACTTTTAAATTTGTATTTTTGGTTAATTCGGTGTGGCTTTGTGAATTTCGTTCACATACGATACGTTCACAATACAGCACACATTCAGGGCAATTAAAATTTCGCTTTTTTTATTAACATATTATATAAGAAGTTACATATGTATATTTTTTTAAATCTATGAAGTTATGATTTAAATTGATAATAATTGATAGTTTACAGTAATGACATCTTTCGTCTTCCGGTACACTACCTTAACTACCTTCAACTACGCCGCAGCTAAATATTTTTGACAGTTCTGTTAAAATATTTGGCCGTGCAAGTTCAGTGATGTAAAAAATAGATTTATTCATTTACAGGAAGTTGGAGAATGATAGCAGGCAAGATAATATAGCAGAATATTGTAATTTTATTGTGTAAAATATTGAACATATTAAAGTTGTCAATTTATATTTTATAATTCTTTTATCACAGGTCTAAAAGATGTCTGCAAAATGACACGGCGTTTTGGTATTTAAGGGTATTAATTTATTTGATGATATTATAACCAATCTCAATCGGATTTACTAATCTTTGGTTCATTAGCTAACAATAAAATAGCCAATTTATATTTTACCTAATAATAAGTAGGAACTATAATAACATATTTATTAAGAATAAAAGCAATATTATCGTTTCGTGTTCTTTGTGGTATTAGCACATGAAGCATGAACTCAAGGGGTACAAGTTATACATCGTAACCAATCTTTGCCGGGCTCAGATAGATAAACGAAACTAGCTGTAAGTGGAATTCTGTCTTAAGGCAATTAAGGCATCGTGCCTCAAGGCAAATTGCTGGAACTTACCGTACCAAAAATTATTATTTTTTTGAAAAAAATTTACTTCGAAAAAATAAGATTTTTGACAAAATTAGACAAAAAATTACTTTTTTTTGAAAAAGAAAAAAAATTTTTTAATTTTTTTTTTTGAAAAAAAAAAATGTATTCTTTATTTTGACATATTTTGAAAGATCTAAACTTTTTTTCAAAGCAATCGTACTGCTTTAACTGCATAAAGACGAAATATCAAACCGCGTAAGCGCCGCGTCGACGTCTAACGCGTAAACATTGGTACGGAACCCATAGGAATGTAAGCCAAAATTATACTTATTGTTAAAATCTCTATAAAATATCTCATAATTTGATGTGCATATGTCTAATGATCATTTTTGACCGCCAAATGGCATTTTTTTTTACTTTTTTCATTAGATCTCCGAGACCGCTGGACCTGCCTTTATGAAAATTTGATCGGTTCTTCACCTTATCAATACAAGTAAAATGTTTTTTGAATTATTAAAATCGGACGCTCCGTTCTCTTAAAAACTGAGTTACCGTTTTCGGCACTTTTTGCCCCGTATCTTTGGAACGGCTAGACCTGACTTCGCCAAAAACTAATCAGCACGTCTCCTTATCAATACGAATCGAATGTTTTTTGAATTATTCAAATCGGTTGATCCGTGTTCCCGAAATCGTCGACGAAAATTTGTATCCGCACATACATACACACACGTACATACATACATACATACATACATACATACATACATACATACATACATACATACACACACACACACACACACACATACATCCATTTTTTCTAAGGTATGCCAAAATATTCAGAAACCTCTGAAACGTAAAGATATATAAAAATTTTCATTTTCGATTTTTTTGCGATTACTATAACTTACCCTACGGGAAGTTAAAAAGAGGGTTTCAAGTTGAAACTTTCAACATTTGCAACAAATGCAAATCTTTCCCGGTGGATGTTTTGATCTGATTTTAGCAAATCTAGCATACTTGGAGTAGAAGTTAGAAGGCAATAACTTTTGACATGCCTTTTTTTCTTGGTACTATGACATTTTGTCCATTGTATAAGTATGTTATTTTGTCCGAAATTGAACAAAAATTAATGATCAATTAAATTTTACCAAACACCTGATTATTGCAATAAAATGGATCGAAATCATTAGTACTGGCATAAGTTCAATGATTTTGTTAGAAATAATATAGATAGCAATAAATAAGTCCCAAAAACACGAAAAACTATCCTCAAAATAAAATTTTGAAGGCAAGATACGCGTTTGATCCTATTACTGCGATAAAACTGTTAAAATGACGCTCAACATCTGGCAGGATTATGATTGTGGCTTTCTTAACTGTATACAGTCGCGAAAACTTTAATAAAACTAGCCAATTATTAATTGAGTCCACGGTGTCATTTTGTCCATATATTCCACTTTGTATGTTTTTCCCTACTATTCGAGTGAAACTTTCAAGTATCGATGATAAATTTAAGAGGTATTATTGTGTTATCTAATTTAGTGAACCCTGCTATTTTACAAGAAATTTAGCTCGGATATAAAACTGGAGTTAACAAATCGCTTTAAATAATAAAATAAAGTTGTAGATTTTAAATATTTGAGTTAAAAAATTTAGTAAGATGTAGTCAGTTGAGTTAAAAAAAATATTTTGGGCAATTATTTTTATTTTCAGAGCAAAACAATCAATGTTCAAAACTCAAACATTTCGAAAATTTCTAATTTTCAAAGATTATTTTATTTGTAATTTCTAATTTTCGTTTGAAGATTTATTTTGATCTTATCCAAGAACTTTTAATTTCCAACATCGTTTGGTGTTCGCGTGTCGCATATGTTTTCCTGCCTTATTCTATGACTTTGTCGCGTTTTTTTTCTTCAAATAGCGCGCTCTTTCTGCTTAGATGATCGCGATGCTGTTTAACTTTTATGGTTTCTGCCGTGAAAGATACTTGCTCGATTCAGCTAGGACGTGTATGTATTAGGGATGAGAAATATCATTAAACAAATAGATATAATATCGATTAGTAGATAATATAATAATATTTAATATTAAATTATTATTATTGTTATCATCATACCCGGTGCAATTGGTCCAATTGGTCCAATCATTAGGTTGACATTCGATTCAGTTATTCTAAGTAGGGGTGTCCGTGGTACCTAAGGGTACGGTACAATAGTGACAGTTGCCATAACAGCTAAACTATACTGGTTTTGACACATGGTTTAAAGACAGAAAGATGTAAGTCTGCGCTCTCCTGCATAATATGATCTGTAGACCGCATTGCTTAAAGAGTCAAAAAATGTTTTTTGCTTGTTTTTTTTTTTAATAAGAACTGTTACTAGAACTGCATACAAATAGATTATTTTGATTGTTATTTTGCTATTAGTTCAACACAGTAGTTAATTACCAGCAATTAATATTTTAATTGGTGCCCATACACTTAATTCTATGGTATAAGAGCATTTTATCTGATTTGTTTTCTTTCCCTATCTTGTTATTTTTAGATAACTTTTTACTTTTCAAATTTTTATTCCATGCTTGTTTTTTTCTTTTCTGGCTTATGCATTTTTCTCCGTTATCTCTCTGTAAAATAGACATTTCAAATTGAATAAATTAAAACTCAAAATAAATTTTTTTAGGCCAGATACACGTTTGAATGTGACAAGACTGTGACAATGACGCTCAACATCTGACAAGATTGTGAAATTAATACGCCCAAACAATCGAGAGCAAGAGTGCAATAATGAGGTACCTTACACTACCAATAACAAATTATACCTTTCAAATTTGAATTTTATGCATATATGGTAAGCCTAAAATAATTATGATCTGTTTTGTGTATATATATATTATTTTTATCTTCTATAATAAAATAATGTACTTAAAAACAAAACTTACATAAATGTGTTTAAAACTATCTCACAACTGTGCGCATAAAACTGATTGACAAATTATTTTTATATAAATGTTATGGCTTTCATTATCTGCAACTACAATAATTTCTTTAAATTGCTAAAATATTAGTAAGTAAGTAAGTAGTAAGCAAGATGACATGGATTACATGAAGATATCATATTAAGCCTTTATCCTTTTTACTATAATTTACATTATTTAATATGGTATAGCCAATAAACTTTGTATATTACCGGTCTTCGCATTTATAGCGTTTAATGTTAAGAAAATAATAGTGTGTATATATACATGTATTTGATAGACTGAACGATTTGCAAGTATTCAGAAGACCAGTAGATTTATGCGATCGTTTTATCGAAGAACGAATTTAAAAATAATCGAAGCGATTTTGTAAAGTGAAGAAATAAAATCAAGTTATTCCAGAAGTTAATTATGATAGCGCCTCGTTCGGTAGCAGATACCTTAGCGTCATATAGGTACACTGCAAATATAAATGTACATTTATAGCTCAATAAATATTTCAAAGTCGAATATTATAATTTATAGTTTATTTTTAAATACAATAGAATATTCATGCTTGCTTATCTATGATAACATTATTATAGCAAGGGTAACAGAAATTTTGAAAGTTTTCTGATATGGATGAACGTTTGATTTACTTTCAGTCAGGCACCCCGAAATAATGACCAAAAATGTAATATTCTACGTTTGTCTTTCATTTTAGAATACAGAAAAAATATGCATTGGTTTTAATTATTTTAAATTCTATCAAAATATTCATATTTCATATTTGTCAAAAATTCACATTTTTAAAAAAACTTTGCACTTAAGCGTTTGAAGTAAATAAAATATTAAACAGCTACAGCATATCATTTTGACAGTTTTTAGTACCACTTTATATGGAAAACGCAGCGTGACATAGACTTTCTATAAGATTGGTCTATTTTATAGTAGAATTGTAAACTAACTTCAAGCACCTGCATACTTCTTCATTCTGTTTTTTTTTGTTTCTTCTATTGGTGCCTTACCTTTCTCTAAAACTCAAATTATTATTTTTCAAAAATCAGGAATAATTGTTTCTGTATAATTTTTGCGTATTTTTTAAAGATCGTATTTTTAACCGTTGTAGATTTTATTGTATAAAATAAAGAAATAATTTGTATAAATACGCAAACAAATACTGCCAACATAGAATTCTGAACCAATATTTCAAACAAAAATTTTCTCTTGGTTTACAGTGTGCTGTGATTATACAGGCATATTGCTATATGCTACCAAAATGATGTTTTATATTTTAATGAATTTTATTTTTGATCAACTTTTTTTATTTCTTGATATTATTGCACTTTGTTGTTTCGGGCCTGAGGCGCAGAAAAGAAGCGATTCGCTACCAAGAACATCCAGACAATTCGTTACTCGATGATTAATGCATCGAACTTTATTATTTTTGATTTGGCTTTATTATTTTGGCTTTGTGTTATCCGATTGTTCGTTTGGAAAATAAATTTATATAGTTTAATCAATAAGTATTAAAATCTTTTAAATTGAACATTGATTGTAGCAAGTATTATACGGAAGTGGCAAACCGTAAGAAACTTGTATTTTGGCGATTTTATAGATGCTTTTATAATTTTTTATTGTGGCTACATGTATTACTAAATTTAATGTTATGAATAAATAACACAAAGAATTATTGCAAATATTTTATAAAGGTACATATGATTGCATCATTATAACTTCCAAGTCGATTTCTCGCTAAATACGAAGTAAAATACTGCTTTCGTGACAGAACACTAACTCAAATGTAAGTTCTTTGGATTAAAATTGTATATTTTTTTCCAGATTAATCAAATGAAAGTTTTCAAAAGAGTAGTGATTAGAAGAACGTTTCACAAACATTTACAAGAGGTGGTGAAATTCTGATCATTAATAAGTATGGTATGGAAAGATCATACAAAATCCATATCTATAAGCTGATAAGGTGAGTGCATGAGTGCAATTTTAATTTTAAATTTTAATTATTTGAAACGAGGGAAATTTATATGAATTAAATTGCATGTTACAATCATTTTTAATGCATATATTTTTGAATATATTATTTGTATTTTTGTGGTTGCATGGAAGAGAAATGTAAGTTATCATTGATTTATTGATAGACGTAGCCAAAGACTAAAATGTTAGATTTTTAAATTAAATATGTTGCATTACATTTTTAAAAATGATACTAAAAACGAGATTTTTTTAATAAATAAGAATATGTTTTTCAATTCATGTTAGGATAGAATTATGATGTTTTAAAATCTATGATAAATTAGGGAATTAATTATTATTCATTTATATTTAAAAATTATAGTATCAGGTTTCAATGAAATAACTCAGTATTCAGAATAAATTTTTATACTACTGTGAATTTTAATAAAGATCAAACATTGATTTTCACATACATTGTTCTTGAGAATTTTTTAAATTGAAATAAAAAATATTTTAAATAAAACAAATTGATCAAGACAAATTTATTATGAAATGTCTCAAAAACATTACTTGTGCATATATTTGTTCCCTAAAAGTACAGTCGGTTAAAATATTAAACTTGGCATAATCTTAAAATCAATATTATCTTGATAACTTTTCCACAAATTTTTAAATAAAATTAAGATATTGTACAAGTCATACAGAACTGTAATTATATCAGTATGAAACTGCAATACAACTTATGATAATATTTAATATTAGCTCTATAAAAGCTTGACCTATATTAATTTAACATTCAATTTAAAAAAATGTTTAGTTTACCGTAGAAACGCTACATATCATAATAAAATAAGTAGAATTTTGCTTTGAATCCATTTCTTTATTAATTACATTTATTTAAAATATTATACACTTATCAGACTGATCATGCATAGTATTAAATTCCACATATAAACACGCGTTCTTGCACAAAACGCTAATGATTCAAATGTATAAAAAATTAATCAGCTCGCACTTCCTAGTAATAACTCAGATAAATTTTTATTAAAAACATAGTAACATTGCATTTTTCAAAAGCATTGAAAAAGAGCACCTGCCTGGCTTGTACCTGTATGGTTGCTATTAAAAACTAGTTTAATGCAAATATAGTTTGATAGAAAAAACCAGGCGACGTAGAGGCGCTACCACGCATGTCATGATCATATCTAGATTCCTGGTCATATTATGCAAAAAGCATATTTCATCTTGATCGAGAGATGATCATAAGTTATAATCAAGGAATTAAATATAACGATACATCAAACCATTGTCAAATTGCACAAGTTACTTGCATGTTTTTATCACAAACTAAACGAGCGAGGTTGAGTTGATTTATTCTAGTTGATTGTGTTGCATTCGACGACTTGTATGATTTTGTTTTTGGTTATTCAAAATAGTATGTGCACCTTATCATTGATACTAAACATTAATATATTAGTAATATCTAGTTTGATTTTACCCGATTGTATGGATATTGATATACGTTCATCCATATCTAAGGTGTACAAATTCTTGAAGGTATTGTTAATTCAAATGAAATTCAATATCATATGGCTGTATCACATTTCTTGAACTAGCCTCGGATCTTTTATTACCGTATTGAACGATGCGTTAATAATCGCGTCAGAACAGAACCATAAATAATATCGGTGAAACCAGCGATGAGCAAAGATTATTATTTATCCACAGTAAGCCATAACTTTGATCCACTTTTGATTTATGCAAATGTTTTTTGAATGAAAGAATAACATATTTAGGAGGAAATAAGGCTTCTTCCTTGTTATACTTATAATTACCTGTTATACATGTCATACTAGGGCATTCAGTAATGGTTTTCGAATTATTACATGGCTTTTTTGAATGGGTTACTCAGTAGTGTCCAATCCAGTTGCGACTAATTAAGTTTACTCGAAGTATTTGTTGACATTTTTATTATATAATCAGTTATACCCACGAGAGTCAATTTTTACTTGAGGCTATGTTGATATATATATATATATATATATATATATATATATATATATATAGAACCTCAAGTGGAAATTTGACATCAAAGCTGCCTGATGTCGGGCTCGGCTGGTATCGAACCAGCAATCCCGGGGCTAGTTTGAACTAGCCCACGCCTGAATCGATTTTGCCACCGCTGGAAATCAGGCAATTGATCATAGTTTGATCTGTAACCTATTTTTGTATTAATAAAAAATTTACACTGGATTCTGTGTCAACCTTCGTGACTAAAGTTTGCTGTAATTGCTCTTTTCTTTTTTTCGATTTATTGCATGCATATGTATCCAAAATAAGATATTTAAACTAAGCGCGAATAGCAATTATGAATAGGTTCATATTAAAAGGCAATGCATATTCCAAACTCTTTCATAAGGATTTTACTAATGATTACTTTAATAATGAAAATGAACTGAAATTTGTAGTAGTTCTTCTTATCCTTTAAAAGTTGTTAAACTGTTACTTTAATTTAAAAAAAACGTGTAAAATGCGTAGTCGTATGTTTACGAATGTTAGTTTTCCTTCTAGCAAAAATATTTTATTTGATACTACTAATATTAAAAAATTTATTATTCAAACATAAATATGTAATCAACGAATGGATTGGTTATAATATTTTAATTAGTAATTTTCTATGACATGCTGTTTCATTGCATGAGATTTTAGCTCAAAATCTTAAATTCCATAATATTATTTTAATATACTTCATGTTGTCCTAGTATACTCATTGTCTATACAAAATATATTTGAAGGATTCATGATATGCTTAAAATAATTTGAGATTTTTGTCATCAGTTTGTTGCCACCTTTTTCGAAAAATCGAATAGCTATATACTCTATACATCAGCTGAATCAAATATTGGTTTACTTAATTATATTTTCTGCAAAGCTTCAATTTGGTCGGATTATTATAAATGAATGCTTAATTGTCCAAGTTCTCAGAAACAGTTTAATATATCCTTTTACCGATTGACGTGTATTTGTTTTCCGGATTGATCAACTAAAATTGATCAGCATCAACACTACCAATTCCTTATATATGTCTCTCTGTCTTCATGCATCAGGTGATTTCTTGCTACCTTCAAAAGTAATTCTTTATATACATTTTATAAGGATATAACCAGAAACAAGTGAAAAATAAATTTTCTAAAGCAAGTTATTCTAAATCAGTTTTGATAACTATGCAGGCCAATTGTGAAGAATGCAATTGAGTCTTCTTTCAAGTAACAATCCAACAAATCATCGATTCTGTTGATAGTCATTTATTAAAGGTTGTCCATCCCTCTTAGGTAAAGCAATATACCTATATCGTAGAATATTTGGTTTCACGCCTATGCTTGAATGAGCATGCCTCCATATATGATATTCATATTGTTTTAATAGCGAACCGCATAGATCTCGATTGATTTACATTTTACATGAAGCGTAGTATAGAGGATGCTGAAAAAAATCTTCTACAGCCTTCGCTTCCGTTAAAATCCGGTTGTGTAATAAACCAAGATCGATAACGAAATTTATTTGATCACGCGCTCGATCATTTGAAAGGATTTGATTAGAAACATGATTCAACGTAATCGTAAATTAAATTTTAATATTACATATAATATTATATAACTGAAACAAGTATTTGGACATTTAAAGAATCAATACTAAATGTATCAACCAACTTTAATTCTTTTTAACAACCTAAACCAGTTTGCTGTGTTATATTTAGTTGGCACTTTATTCACAAGTTGGAAAATTTGATAATATGTTAGATTATGAAAACATATAGCATTCTACAATTAAGTTTAAAATCGAAATTAGAAGTAGATAATGAATCTAATTGCTGTGAATGTGGGTGGATTTTTGTATATAGTTTACAGGTCTCAAATCATTCAATGAATGTAAATGAAGTACATATACAAAATAGATCGAAATATAGTGCACGCAAAGACTATAATTTTTTTTACAGAAACATAGTCTATTTCTTAATAAAACATTGTTATAATATAATAATGACAAGTTTGGACTTGCTAAATGCAGCACCGCAAATAATTTTTCCATAATTTTGGAAGAATTAATGAATTAGTTTTTAACTTTCAAAATTTCACAGCCTTTCGACTGTCAATGTAAAAATGATGTTGATAATAACTGAACAATTTATTCATCTTTGGATTTATTTAATAATTTGCGACATTTATTTCATTGGTGTAATATAATATAAACAATATTGTAGTCTGTATGAAATTAAATATTTCATATATTCTAAATTAAGAAAATTCTATATGTCATGTACCATGTGAAAATGTGCATTATTTATTTAGAATATAATAATTAAAATTATTTATAGAAACTTCATTTATAATTTAAGCCTGATACAGCTCACCAAATTTCCAAAAGTTTGAATGCACTTGATTCAAATGCAAATGCCATGCATATTTATGAAAACTATCAGTTTTACTTGTTAACAATAATTTTAATCAAACACAATCATGCAGAGCATTTTTATGTTATATTTTAAAATAAAAATGTGTATAATAAAAGTAATTTCAGTCATTGTTTTCAAATTTGGTATGATCAACTTTTGATTAAAACTATATCATCTTATATTGCGTTTGAATTATGATCACGATTGGGATGATTTTGACCTTGTTCAAGCCTATATTTCTCAGGTATCATGTTCAGTTAATAACTTACTGCTTCAATTGAGGAATTAGGCAAAAATTATTAGTTATTTTTAAAAAATATATATTTATGATCTCTCCTAGTTATCATCAGGTTCAAAAAGTCCTCGATTTTGTTTAGAGCAAGCAGAGATGTGCATGCATATGACAATTCGATCATCCAAAGATTTGACTTTTTCATATGGCGCGAAACTTGAATACTTCCACCCCAATTATATCTTCCGAATATGGTTAGAAATAGTTTGTTGAGCTGAACCATAAATTTCAATTTTACAGAAAGATTCTCTCTTGTTACTTGTGC